AATCTTGTTCTTAAGTAATATATGTTCCCTGTGTCCATATTGCCCATGCTGTATATTTTTGGTATGTTCCTGTCCATGTTTGTCTCTGTATATTTATATGTTATTGTCCATGTCCCTTATTGTTTTCCATAGTTATTTCTTAAATTCATATACTCATAGCTCATATCTCATATCCAATAGCCATTACCTATACATAATGGTACTTAATAACCTTTTCAACCTTTTCAATTATCTTTTCTCACAAATTTTTACATTTCCCCACTTATCTGCACAAGGCATGCCTACTTAAATTAAGGAATTGTTGGTGCAGGCCACGGTTTTGTTGTAGCGAGGAATAAATATTTTGAGTAGCGCATACTTGTCTTTTTACAGGTAAATAGACTTTTGCAGATGATGCCATTATTATTCATATATATTTTGCTATTCTCCAATTTTGTAATTGTTATATTTGCACTTGAATTGAGAAATTGTTGGCGCAGGCCACGGTTTTGTTGTAGCGAAGAATAAATATTTTGAGTAGCGCATACTTGTCATTTTACAGGTAAATAGCCTTTTGCAGGTGATGCCATTATTATTCATATATATTTTGCTATTCTCCAATTTTGTGATTTTTATATTTGCACTTGAATTGAGAAATTGATGGCGCAGGCCAGTTTTGTTGTACTGAAGAATAAATATTTTGAGTAGCGTATATTTGTCTTTTTACAGACCACTTTACCCGTCAGGTCCAGAACTAACGGCAATGTCAACGAGCCCTTTTGTTTCATTGAGCTGCCACACCTGTATATAACATGACCCTTTCTAATGCACTGGTTGCTATGGAAAGTCAGCATCCACTAATGTCTCAGGTCAATAAGAACAAACAAAACAAGAGAGCAGTAATGGCCTTATATCGCTCAGCTTACATTCATTTCTAGACAAGAGCCGGTTGACCAGTTGAACCGGGTGATTGCTCCCAGAGTAGGTTTTGGACACAGAAAAAGTAAACCTTTTGTAGTTACAGAGTTATGTCCCGGACAAAGTTGAAAGTGCAATAATTCCAAAATTAGGCAAGGCAGAATAACTGTTCTTTGCACTGATCATCTACAAAATGAGATCTATCTACTTACAAAGTTTCGTTTCCATATTTCTTATAGTGTCAGAGTTATGTCCCTGACAAAGAGTAAAAAATGAACAAAGGGCAATTACTCCAAAATAAGGCAAGGCAGAGTTATCTTTTGCAGGTTCTTTTTGCACTGGCACATCTACCCAATGAGATTTATCTACCTATAAAGCATCATGTTGATATCTCTTATAGTTTTCCAATTATGTCCTGGATAAAGTTCAAAAGTGTTAAAATGAGCAAAGGGCAATAATTCCAAAATTTGGCAAGGCAGAATTATGTTTTTTTTTGCACTGCACCTTCATCCAGTAAGAAATATCTACCTACAGAGTTTCAGAGGTATGTCCCGGACCATGTTCAAAGTTTAAAAATGAACAAAGGGCAATAACTCCAAAATAAGGCAATGCAGAGATAAAGTTATTTTGTAATGCACTTATACCCAATGAGATCTGTCTACCTACAAAGTTTCATGTTGATATCTCTGATAATTTTAGAGTGATGTCCCAGACAAAGTTCAAAGTACAACTAGAACTCCGCGAGTTGGATGTGTCGCCTTGTGAACAATATAGTTTAAGAGAAATGGCCAGGACAAAAATGAAATTTGAAAATCAACAATGGGCAATAACTCAAAAAATAAGAAATGCAGAGCGTACTGCACTTCTTATCAATAAGATTTATCATCCTATTAAGTTTTAAGTCTAAAGCTTTTATAATTTATGAGAAATGGCCCAGACAAAAATAAAGTATGAAAATTAACAAAGGGCAATAACTCAAAAAATAAAAAATGCAGAGTACCAGTTCTTGTTCACTGCACTTCTTCTTAATGAGATCTATCATCCTATGAAGTTTCATGTCCATAGCTTTATACTTTAGGAGAAATGGCCCAGACAAAAATAAAGTACGAAAATTAACAAAGGGCAATAACTCAAAAAATAAGAAATGCAGAGTACCATTTCTTGTGCACTGCACTTCTTCTTAAGAGATCTATCATCCTATGAAGTTTCAAGTCCATAGCTTTATACTTTAGGAGAAATGGCCCAGACAAAAATAAAGTATGAAAATTAACAAAGGGACATAACTCAAAAAAATAAGAAATGCAGAGTACCAGTTCTTGTGCACTGCACTTCTTAATGAGATCTATCATCTTATGAAGGTTCATGTCCATAGCTTTTATAGGCGAAATGGCCTGGACAAAAATAAAGTATGAAAATTTACAAAGGGCAATAAATAAAAAAATAAGAATTGTAAAGTACCAGTTCTTGTGCACTGCATTTCTTCTTAATGAGATCTATCATGCTTTGAAGTTTCAAGTCATAGATTTTATACTTTAGGAGAAATGTCCGGACAAAAATATAAAGTAATGAAAAATTAACAAAGGCAATAACTCAATAAATAAGAGTGCAGAGTACCAGTTCTTGTGCACTGCACTTTGGGTCATTAATAAGAAGCATGCATACCAAGTTTGAAGTCAAATCCAACTTATAACTGACTGACTTGAGCTCCGGACAAGCTAAACTGGACGCTGACGCCGACAACGACACCAACACCTTCGACAAAAGTACCCCTATATGTCGCGCTTTTTCAAGGCGACACCAAAAATGAACATAAGGCAATACCTCCAAAATTAGGCAAGCAAAGATTTTAAGTTTTACCGGTTAGTTTCGCCTGCACATCTACCCAATGAAATCCCTGTCTACACCTACAAAGTTTCATGGTGATATACTCTTAATAGTTTTAGACTTACAAAGAGAATTTCATGAATTTGACTTTGATGGGCCATGCCAATTGGAAGGGGTTTTTGTCCCAAAAAAAACATATATCTTCCAAAACTAGGTATGCTAGTGATCACTCCTATGAAGTTTGGTCAAAACCTTGCCAGCAGTGTGACCTGTGAAAGCAGGACAAGATATTTCTTTTTATAGCTCTAAAAGCCACTCAATGACAACCAGGGGTGGGGCCAATTTGACCCAAAAACTTGGTAGACACAACTAGAAGATGTTTCATGCTTAATATCTAAGCTCTAGCTCTTTGGGTTTTTTTTCAAAAGAAGATTTTTTTAAGTTTTCACTTTATACATATAAGGAATATTAAAGACACCCAGTGGAGGGGCCAATTTTGACCCTAAGGCTTTTATTTGAACAAACTTGGTAGACACAGACTTGAAATTGTTCCATTCATAATATATAAGCTCTAGCTCTTTGGGTTTTTCAAAAGAAGATTCTTTTGTTTTTAATATATACAAATAAAGAAAATCAATGACCCCCTGGGGCGTGGCAACTTTTGACCTTGAACAAAATACTTGGTAGACACTAACTACGAGATGTTTCATGCTTAATATCTAAGCCCTAGCTATTTTGGTTTTTTAAAAGAAGATTTTTTAAGTTTTTACTATACTGTATACATTTAAGGAAAATGAATGACCCCCCGGGGTCATGCTTAATATCTTAGCTCTAGCTCTTTGGGATTTTTAAAAGAAAAATTTTACTGTAAGTTTTTACTATAAACATATAAGAAATATCAATGACCCCCCCTCCAGGCGGAGACAATTTTGACCCCAGGGATTTTATTTGAACAAACTTGGTAGACACTGACTAGACAATGTTTCATGCGAAATATCTAAGCTCAAACTCTTTTGGTTTTTAAAAGAAGATTTATTAAGTTTTTTTCTTTCCGTTGCCATGGTAACCACAGTTCTGCCTGAAATTAAATTCTTTGTACAATTTTTAAAATTTGACCACTAAAGAAACATTTCTGTGAAGTTTCCAGCAGTTTTTGAGGAGATGCCGTTTGCAGTAAAGGTTTACAGACAGATAGACATGCAACAAAATAGGGATAAAGGGCCATTTCTATTGTTATTTTTCATTTAATTGAGGGCCATGGCCCCTTATTCAATTGTTACGGAATGAATTCTATTGTTTTCTTTCGTTCTGTTTACAGTTAGCTGGCTCCCTATCCCCCTATTCGGTAGTGCAGATGGACGGACGGACATGGGTAAATGTAAATGCGCCCCATATTGTTTGGGCACATTAATTTATCAAGAATGAATGTAGACCTACATAATTTTTTGCACACAGTATTTTAAAAGAAAAAAAAATTCTATAAATTATATTTAGTATGATTATTGTGACATCATAATTTCATGACGTCATGAATTAGAGCGCATGATGTCACCCACAATAATCAGTCAATATATTGCCAACTATAAGAAATTAATAGGAACTTTATTTGCCAAAAAAAAAAATCAAATTATGTTCATTTATCAAAATATCCATGTAGAAAGTAAAAGACCCATGAGAATAATAATTTAGCTTCACTGAGACATAATCTTAGACAACCAAACCTTGTCTCAATATGTCTGAGAAAAACCTCAAATCTTAAGTTAAGATTTTTCTCAATATTTTTTAGTGAAGCCAACTGAGAAAAATCTCAATCTCAATTGCTAAGTTGAGAAAAATCTCAGATTTGAGCTGAGCTTTTGACTTTGAGAACATTAGTGAAAGCCCGACCAGGTGCACAACTTCATATAATGCAACATTCCTGTAAGGTTTCATGACTCTAGGTCAAATATTTTTTTAGCTATGTGCGGCACAAAATGAGAACGGACGGATGGACTGACAAGGGTAAATCTACATGCCCCCGCCCCAAAAGTGGGGGCACAAAAAACCCAGTAAACTCTTTGATAAAGAGGGGTTTAACCCATCGAAACATTGGGAGAAATGAGGGGACCCCTCTTTATCACGGCTGTTTTTTTTTTTTTTTTTTTTTTTTTTGAAATACACAGAAACGCTTGTAAAGCGGGAGTTAAAAACACCCTTGAATGTGAGGTTGATAAATTGTGAAAATAAATATTAGTTCATTACTTTTCCCAAGTGAACGAAACTATTTTTAGAAACACTACAAGGTTTTACTGGTTTGTAGCCTCTAAGTGTATGAGCTAAATACGACACGAGATACCACGGTATTCGTACAGTAATCAACGGTCAGATTCTGTGTCCATGTGTTATGTAGATGGTGTATACCACCCTTTTCTAAAACCGTAACCTGTTATATAAAATGTACAATAGAAAAATTCTGTGACCAACACCAAATTAACACATCTGTACTTTGCAACTGTAGCATATTCTAGCTTAGTACTGGTACTTATTGTTTGTTAGTTTATCTGGTATTTATGCTGATGCAATTGTAGAATATTCTACCTTAATACAATACATATCATTTTTTAGTTTATCAGGTTTTTATGCCGATTTTAACACATTTTACACATGGTTCTTAACAATTTTACACAAAAGTGTCCTTTAACATGAACCTTAGTGTGCTTGCAGCAAAAAATTTTAACCATGTGACCAGTGAAGACCAAAATCAGCTGTTACATTTGTGCTGTCTGATCGTGGTCTGCACTGTTAACTGTTCATTCACTACATATTTTTAAAACTTTACCTAAAAACAATGAATGGTTTTGTCCAGATTGAAATATAGACAAGTTCATTCAAGATATTCAGTATGGTAAGAGTTAATATTAAATCAAGATGTCAATGGAAGCTCAGACCATGATCTGGACTGATCACATGATTAGATTCAGTCACCCACAGTTGACTGAAGGTTAGGAAGCTTACAGGTTAAATGCACTACCAATTAAGATTCTTTTAAAGTATTCACATGCAAATAACTCGACTAAATTGCTCCTTCTTAAAAGAACAAGTTCAATTCTTATCATAAACTGCTAATAACAGATATTACTTTATCAACTATTCAATCAATAATAAATAAACATTTTATCTACACTACAAACCAACCTGTTACAAATCTCTGTGCGTACAGTGGTGGCGGAGTTATCTCCCCATATTTCACTTTAGCATTGTACGACCCTTGCAAGTTGAATATCTTTCCCGACTTGGTATGTTTCTTTACGTCCCACACATTGTACATACGTTTTCTCCTCCCCTCGTGAAGTTAAACAACTTGGTCTGGTTCGGGATGTAATAACATCTGGTCGAATATAGAACATTATCCCATGTTTGTTTGGTTGTTTTGTTTTATTGGGTTTTAAGTCATGCCTACACGGTCATAAGGCGACGTTCCAGCTTTACTGGTGGAGGAAGACCTCAGGGTGCCCCTTCCGTGCATTATTTCAGGTACGAACAGGTATCTGAGTAGAACCACTGACATTCCGTAAGCTAGCTGAATAGCTTCGTCACATGAAAGAATTCAAAGTCCCTGACGGGATTTGAACCCAAAGCGGTGAGGGGCAAGTGGTTTAAAGTCAACAACCTTAACCAGTTGGCACAGACGCGCCATTATTACATGTAATGACATAATCACTGTGACTGTCATATGGCAAGTTTTCAGATTGAATGGTAAAAGAAGACGTAACCTTGTTACAGGATGTACAACATCAGGTTGGATATATAGAACATTTTTTGTTTTTGTTGGGTTTTAAGGCACACTGACCCAGTAAAGGTAATGTGGCGACATTTCAACTTTACTCACCCAGTAAATGTCATGCTTAGACATTTCAACTTTACTCATCCAGTAAATGTCATGTGCCGACATTTCAAATTTACTGGCAGGGGAAGACCTCTCATGTACAAGCAGGTTATTAGTTTAAACATATTTAATTCAGCTCAATTATGAAACAATATGTTGCAGCTCGATTGCGAAACAATTTCTTGCAACTTATATTAATCATTTTCGAATCAGTTCCCTGGGACCAACCAGTGCTGGTGTCATATGAGGAAAATGATCGAGACCTGAGCAGGGCTTGAACCCATGATCTCTGGGTTGAGAGGGACACTTCTTAACCACTAGATCACCGTTTCCCTTGAGCAGGCACATGAGTACTGCAGATATAAACAAGCTGGATAATTTCTTAACATAAAAAAATCCAAATTTTCTGATAGAATGTACACCAAAAGAAAAAGTAAAGTGCAAAATATATGAATCAGTGATCTAAACAACTGAACATAGAGAAGGATCGACACTAAATAGACTTAAATAATTGCCTAACTGCAGTCTTTTAATCTGTAATATCAGGCTATGTATCAATGCACTAAAGCCCTTATCATGTGATCAGATAGAAAAAGACAAACAAAAGGTTCTTACCTCTTTATGTAAAGTATTGTCAACATAAACTTTACTAAAACTAGACATGGGACACGCTTCATGTATGCTCCTACCAAACATTGACTTTATACTCCAATCTGTAAGATTTATTGTACATTTGTATAAATTGATTTTACCCATTGTCCGCAATGTCGGCTGGTTGCAACTGGATATACTCAGCAACCGGTGCAGTCCAAAGTCAGAACATAAATTTGCAGTCTCATCAAGATCTGCACTGTTCTGCTATTCAGGCAATACATAATTTGACATTTTCCCTAAACATAACAAATGGTTTAGTCTAGTCTGAAATATGGACGAGTCCATTTGAGATATTGAACATGATAAGAGTTAATTAACCTACGTACATACATATGTAACAAGCATTCATGCATGTTACAGTGCAAATATTTAAGTCCTAACCAATTAGCATAAAATCATTTCTAGTATAACATGTATGTTTTGATTTGGATGACTGAGCTGGTAGCTTTTTTACAGGTGTTTGTTTGTTTGTTTGTTTGTTTCATTTCATGCCTTTTCCCAACATTATTTCAGTCATATAGGCGGGTAGTTTCCTAACCATCGTTCCTGGAGAGTAACACCAGTACTAGACTACCTTCCTCCGCGCTAAACTACCAAAGCATCTCCCGGGGATCGAACCCACGCCAGAGAGGTAACTGGATTAGAAGTCTAACCCCTCGACCACGGAGGCGGCTTTTACAAGTGTAATATCAACCTACTTTGGTATCCATTCAGTTTCCCTCTATTTGATGATGTGGGGTTGAATACAACTGTTAGGGTTTGCTTTAATTCTATACCAGCCAGTGTGCACTCTTTGTCCTGAAAATATTGTATCATGGAATGTCACAAGCTCTGGTTACTGTGATTAGTGGAAATGTTTCACTTTAAGTTTATTTTCACAGCTATTTTCTTACCTACTGCATATAATATGAACACATCTGCATGTATTTCTACATTCAAAACTGTATAAGAATTATTAAGCTGGTGCTAGTGGGCATGGGCAGGAAACTTTCACTTTCCAGCAACACCTATGAACAGGCTAAATTTAATCCTGTCTGCAACATTTTCAATTTTGCCGTTTTGGACGTTCTTTACAGATTCCTTTATTTCTCTATTCTATGCAAAAAGATATCTTAATTAAGTTTATACGGAACTAAGTTATAGAAATAAATACTCAAACAGTGAAGGAGATTTTTTAATTTATGTAATAACAAGCAATTATCATAGTATTGCAAGCAATTCATAAGTCCCCTACCGGTAAGAGCCCAAGCAACATTCTGAAGGGCCATTGGCCATTCACTTATGTTTCTATTTTAAGTAAATTTGTTGAAAAAGTTCTTTAAAAGTGATCACAGTGAACAGACAGACAGACAGACTGAAGGACAGTCTAAAGTTATTTTTTAAACATCCCTGTTATCAAAATATAACATTTTAAAAGCAAAATTTAAAAAAAAAGGAGATAACGATGTCATACATGATGTGAGTATAACAAAGAACAATTAGTAATGAAGGTATGAATATTGAATATTTATTTTGAAATTGAAGTAAATGAAAGTTAAAAGAACAAATAGGAAAAATTAAAAGTTTAAGGAGGAGATAATTCTGGAAATATGGATGATAGATTTATAAACCTTGTCATATTATAATGATGTGGGAGTTTGATGAAAATTCTATCATGATTGAAGAAGTTGGAGTAAAAATTACCAATTTCTCAAAAAAAACTCTAAGTTCAAAAGGGGCATAATTCTGGAAATAGTCTTGCTAGAGTATTGAACACTCACAAATGTTGAGTGATAATAAGAAACATTTATATGAAGTTTGAAGTAGATACGTTCAGAAAAAAAGAAGTTATTAAAAAAAACAATGTTTTTTTCCATGAAATTTTAAGTTCAAGGGAGGTAATTCTGATAAATTTTGTGCTAGAATTGTAAACTTTGTCACATATGATGTGGTTGATGACTAGCAACTTATTTTTAAAGTTTGAAGAAAATACCTTAAGAAATAAAGAACTTATAGTGAAAAAACTTAAAAACTAGAATCAGAAATCTTGCAATTCAGTCTATTTGTTGCCATAGCAACCAGAATTTTCAACACAGGATAATAAGAAAATGATGTGCATAATTTCCATACTGCCATCTACCCATATGTCAAGTTTCATAAAAATATTTTCAATACTTTTTGCGTTATCACTGGATCCAGGTTATGTGTAAAATCTGCCATATTTTCAGTCTATTTGTTGCCATAGCAACCAGAATTTTCAGCATAGGAAAAAAAGAAAAAGACGTGCATAATCTCCATATTGCCATCTATCCATATATCAAGTTTCATAAAAAAAATTTCAGTACTTTTTGCGTTATCGCGGGATCCAGGTTATGTGTAAAATTTGACATATTTTCAGTCTATTTGTTGCCATAGCAACCAGAATTTTCAACATAGGAAGAAAAGAAAAAGACGTGCATAATCTCCATACTGCCATCTATCCATATACCAAGTTTCATTAAAATATTTTCAGCACTTTTTGTGTTATCGCGGGATCCAGTTTTGTGGACGGACGGACTGAAGGACGGACAGACGGACGGAGGGTAAACCTAAAGTCCCCTCCGGTAAACCGGTAGGGGACTAATAAGTAATCATACAAGTAGAAAATGACCTTTGACCTTGATAACTCACCTGACATACAGGCCTGACATGCAGGCCTAGAGAGTGATAACTGGCATCATACAATCTCACGGCATTAAACAAAGTAGCTAAACCAGCCTGAAAATAATGACGGAAAATACAATATATAATATAAACAGGGCTTTTTTGCCTTCTATAGCAGGGGTTGTTTCACGGTGGCTTCCCCAAAGAAAAATTCTTTAAAATCATGCAGTTTTCCCCAAATATTGAATAGGCATCATGTTTCTTTTTTCTTGATAAAACTAATTGCTTCAAAAAACAAATAAAATGTTTTCATTATAATCAAAATAAGATTATTATATACAGAAGAAGGGTGTGACTTTTCAATGTACATGTTACAATGTACATCAGTTACATTTAATTCTAACACGACTCGCATTTTTCCCTTTTGAACATAGAAGAACCGAAAGTGTGTGTTATTATGCTATAAAATCACTGTTTGACGTTCTATATTTAGACATGTGACGTAATCATAATACATGTGACGTATCCACTAAAAATGTGACACGCTGACAATAAGTACGGAAACAAATCAGACGCAATTGAGCTAAATATCAGGTACGGCAGCATTTATTTGTTGATGTCGTGTTAAAATCGAAATAATATATCCAAATCGGTGATTTTATTGCTTGATAACATCACTGTTTGTCGTTCGGATGCGCATCATTATATCGCTTGGGCTACGCCCTCGTGATATAATTCCTCGCATCCGAACACCAAACAGTGATGTTATTGAGCAATAAAATCACAGTTTGGGATATATTATTTCTTAAAGAACAGACTTGGGTTATATTATAATAAGCCTTAATCAACAGACTGTTTAAAAACATTAAATTCTGTACTGAATTTGTTTCACTTAGTTATGACTATTAATTTATGTACATGTGTGTGGACTGTGATTGGGGGTGGTCTTTAAGTAAAGGTTTTGGATGTATTTTACAGTTACAACAGGGATCAGCAGCATCATAATAATTATTACCTGAGATTCACAAGCTAGCAGTTTTTCCCAAGGTATAAGATTCTCTGTACAGACAATTTCTTTAGGAAGTGCCGAGTACCGTATGAATCTTGAGTCAAAACTGTAATACTCTGATGCAAGACCCATAGGCCTGAAGCTCCATCGTGGTATGACCGTGGCCTTCGAGTCCATGAAGTTCAAGGACGCACAGAATAAACCTGACAAAGCGTTCACTAATTCTGCCCATACTTGATCAATGCTAAATAACAATCAATAAGATCATAACTTATTCATGTATAACACTGTATCAACAGCAAGCTGATCAATACAGGTACTCTATCAATACAGTTACCTTAAACAGTTATATAAAACATATCAATGTTAAAAATATTGGCAAACTTTACAAATTCAAATTATACTGTACGCAGTAATTATAAATAGTGTAATATTTGCTATCATCCTAATTTGTAAGTAAACCTCAAGAGCTACTCTCTTATGTACCATTTATTTAGCTTTTTAACCCGAGAGAGGTTGGACATTATTGGAAGATAGATATACTGTATTAGCTTTTAAACATTGATCCAGATATTACCACTAGAAATAATTTAATAAGTCTATAGGACAAATTTAAATGTTTTCTTAGTCTACAGGCACATATTGAGACATTGAAGACAAAACAAACTTGAAAGCTATTATGATTTTTATCAACTGAGAATGTTTACTTTTATTGTGAAGACTATAATAAGAATCAGTTCGTTAAAGCTACAGGAGCTACAGTTAATGACAGAATTAAATTTCTACTACGAAAACAAAAGAGCACAACTTACAGTCCATAATGCGGTTGAAACCACACCCATAGTTCCACCCCAGGCGGGGCATCTTCTGGAGGGTAACCCCAATGCTCATGTTTCCACACCCCCTGTGTTTGAGACAGGTGCAGCTCTTGAACTTTATATCTATTCAATACATCTCCTAAAGCCTTTGGAAATAAATTGTAGTGTTGAACTGAAAAAAAAATTCATTATGTATATTTGTCTGCCTATCATGCTACAATCACTGGGTAAGTTTTTGTCCAAGTGAGATTCACTATTGCTAGCCACGCAGGTTCAAACTCAATTAGGAGCAAGCTAGCATTTCCTTTAGAAAGAAACAACTTTACTAATGGTTGGTTCAAGGAACAGATTCAAGAGTGTGAATATAAGCTAATGCTTCCTAGACAATGGAACTTAAATAAATTCAGATTATTCTGTTCAATGACAGTTCAGGTAAAAGTACATTGTGAAACAGGAAAAAAAGCATCAAAAAGTTTAACAGTAAACAGAACAAATAGATTTCATGCATAATAACTGCTTAATAAATTTTTATACTACAGCATCAGCAGATCCAGGAGTGTACATTAATCATATACTACATGTGAGCCACATCATTTCAAAACCAACATAATGGGTTGGCGACCAGCATGGATCCAGACCAGCCTGCGTATCCGCGCAGTCTGATCAGGATCCATGCTGTTCGCTTACAAACACTATTATAAGTAGAGAAACTGATAGCGAACAGCATGGATCCTGATCAGACTGCCCAGATGCGCAGGCTGGTCTGGATCCATGCTGGTCGCAAACACATTATGTTGGTTTTGTCATGACACGGCTCATTTATACTATTCTTACATTTATACCATTCTAACACTTTCAGAGAAAAAGAAACTGGAAATTAAATGTGACTAATATTACACTGGCTATCTGCACAAATATCAACATTACCTAAAGTAAATTTAATCTATAAATTTTAAGAGTAATAATACATTCGAATTTCCATTTAACAAAACATATCTCCTAAAAGTTCTTTGGACGACTTTTTTTAATCATAAAAAAGCGGCATTTTGAAAATATGTGACAAATGAAATTTAAGATTTGCCTGTTTTCTGTAGAAATATTTACAATTCTAGGCATTGTTGATTTTAATTATAATAAATTAAACATTTTTTAATATGGTTTTTATCGGCTAATTCATCAGGCTTCCATGAAATTTCATTAAAAGTGTTATGTTCAGTTAGTCTTATCAGACATTTGATAAAAATAAGAATTGGACAACTTGTAGAATGTGACAATTGGTCCAATTTCTTTATTTCCAAAAATTTGTAAATTTTGTCAAAAAATAAATGAAAGAAAAACATAAAAAACAGGTTAAAATATATGTCATTCTTTATTTACACTCAGCTATTCTTCATTGTGAAATAGAACTATTCCAAGAGTTAATCAAGTGACCTTGATCACCAATGTGTGTACATATGCTTAAGCTCACTATTTCAGTCTATATCTGATATTGTATGCATTTTTTATTCCTCGCATAAAATCCATGGAATTTCTCGTGGGACTTGAACCCACGACACCCGTATAAGGAGCATAATGCTCTCAGACTTCCCGAAAAATTTCGGTCCAACGGACATGTTCGATAAATTTTGATTAGGTCCGACAATTTTTTATTTCGGATCAGTCAAACTGTCCAGCATTTATCCAACTCGCATGTATACAAAATGACGTCGCTAAAGGTGAAAAAAACCTGGGAAAAAATGAAAATCTACTTCAGAGGAGCGCGCAGAACAGCAGTAAAAAGATGAAAAGATTAGACCTGAGACAAAATTTAATGAAAAATTGAAGCAGGACCGTGAATCATTGGTGTATGACAGGGAGGTGAAAATGCACTGTACGGACAGTGCCGATTTTCTCACGACAAAATTAAAACCGAAAAGTGTCTTAGAAATACAAACACAAGATTTCCTTTGATTTTGATTAATTTTATTTGGTCTGGCAGATAATTTTCGTTTCGGTCTGACAGATTTTTATGAATCCGGGTCAGCTCGGCCCTAAAACGTACTCGGCCCCCGAGTCAGCTCGGCCCTATTCCAACTCGGCACGGGTCAACTCGGCCCACTTTTCAATTAATAATATTTAGGTTTGTGTTATCACTATTTATTGTAATTATTGTATTTATTTATAATCCATGGATTGACAGTTTCCGAACTAGCAGCAGACAGGCTTTCTTATCAGTAGAATAGTGAGTAAAGATATCTCACTGTATTTCTGACTCGTGGTAGGTTTAACCGTAAATTTAAATACCTTCAGTGTCCACTTAACTCATTCATTCAAATTTGATTAGTGGCCACATGCAATTAATTAGAAGCTTATGATATTAAGTGAACACGTTTTTGTTTCTTATTTTTTGAATAGTACTTTTAATACAAACAAAATGCATCTAAGGAAAAACATTTTCATTAGATCTATATTAATTTTATCGAATCTGCCACAGGCGCTAGTCACATAATCAAATATTTTACATAATCGGTCTATATATGTATATAAAGATATTATATACATATATAGACCGATTATGTAAAATATTTGATTATGTGACTAGCGCCTGTGGAATCTGCAAGACAAATAAATAACTTTTTTTTCTAAATATACTTTATTTCCGTAGAAGTAGATCTACAATGTAAAATTATATAATAATAAGATATTTCTCATTATTCATTTACCTTAACAACATGCAAAGCAAAGTTAATACGTTATATATATTTTTGTAAAGTGGGCCGAGTTGACCTGTGCCGAGTTGACCCGTGCCGAGTTGGTATAGGGCCGAGTTGACTCTTTTCCATTTTTATGGTTTGTCAGATCGAATCTCCGACACTTTTTTCAACTTTTGGGAAGTCTGTGCTCTAACCTTTCACCACTCTTCCTCCACACAATTTCCATTTAGATTGGTATTTTGTCGAAAATCAGACATTACAGAAATTATTGTTGAAAAATATTTTTCAACTTGCCTAAGCATAGAACTTAGAAGATCTAACTCACATGTTTCTTCCTCGGAAATAGACGAATTCCAAATTGTTGTGAATTGGAAGTGATTCAATACATTTCCTTTCTCCAAAGATTTAATAAATAGTTCTTCATAGAATGCATCATTACTTGCTGCATTTATACAATGCACAAAAAGTGACAATAAAACCACTGGAAAAGCCGGCTTCCCTAACATGTCCGCCATCTTTGATACTTTAAAAAACATATACCATACAGTAAACCAAAGGAATGTCTAAAACCTGTATTTTTTTATTTTATCTTTTCAAAATATATAGGGGATATTCAAGTTTCTTCTATAAATACAGGATTTATTTTCATTGAGTGGTATGAAAATAAATATTTCACGAGTGGCAGTAGCCACGAGTGAAATATGTTAATTTTCATACCACAAGATGAAAATAAATCCTGTATTTATGGAAAAACTTGAATTTTCTGTTTATTATATACTTTTTTTCCTCATTTAGCCTATGAATAGGAAGAGTTCCCTTTTAATTTTGTTTATTAGCTGAATTTGGAAGAAAGTAGTCCGGCATGACACAGTGAAAATACGGAAAATACCAGTGAAAAATAAATTTTTACAGTGAAAATACGGAAAATAAAAATACGCACTTTATTTCATCAATATTTCTCAATATTTCATTCATAAGTATAATTATGATAAAATTAAATATTAGTAGAATGATAGCTATAGTATCACAAGTCTTTAAAAAAGATTCTAAGTCCAAACTAAGCTAGCAATTGTAGACCCATATCCCTGACCTGTCGTGCGTTCATTACCGAAAACGTACATAAAATACTATTTAACATATATCCAACATCTATTAAAACGTTAAAATTCAAATTTTAATTTAAGTCACTTTCGCTCACTTTCTTCAAAAATCTCACTTTCGTATTTTAGGCAAACCCGACACTCGGTGTGTGGAGCTCAAAACGCCTGTATAAAATCCAAATAAAATGTATATTTGTCAATCCCAGCACATGTACTGATAATATATATAAAAAAACCGTAATAATAAGCCGTTTTGAAAAAATCATATTGCTTAATTATAGACGTTTTTCAAAACAGCTTATATTCAGTTTGTTTGATATATATTATCAGTACATGTGCTAGGTTTGTCAAATAAACATTTGATTTGGATTTTAAAGGCGTTTTGAGCTCAACACCCTAAGTGTCTGTGTTTTTTTGTTCAGACCACAGCTGCAAAACCCATGTTCTAAATTTCAAACAAGAAATCACCACAACCATGAATCTAGCAACCAAACTGATGTCATTCTCATGGACCTTTCTAAGATATTTGACAAAGGTGATCATCTGTCTGATCTAAAAGCTACAGGCCCTATGTACAATGTATGTGTTAACCCCAAGTTCTTAATTAACTAGGTCAACTCCTTAATTCCTGCCAAACATCAAAAGGTATATGTAGAAGATCACTTGTCCAGTGTACTACAAGACATCTTGCCAATGGCCCTATGTTGCTATATCGTGTTGGGGTTGCAACCCTCCCTTGAGTTCCACAGGGATCTGTCCTTGTCCATTACCTATTCCTATATACGTAGCTTGTATAAATGACCTACCTAACAGACACTGTCAAATATTATATGTTATTTTGGTTTTGGAGTGATAGATGTGGATATATTACCTGCCAAGATTTTATATCACCCGAGCCGTTAGGCGAGGGTGATATTTTATCTTGGCAGGTAATATATCCACATATATCACTCCAAAACCAAAATAATAATTTTATTACCCTTCCCCTGCCGAGTTTAGACGATTTTTTTAAAAAAATCATTGCTTTTTCAAATGAAACGTCAAAATAAGATTCTCTTTAGGGTACCCCTTCATCACAACATGACGTCACATAAATACATGACGTATTTTTTCCCCGTAAACAATTAAGAGAAAAGGAGTAGTCTAATGAACGCACTTTTTTGTAATTAATATCAAGCTTTCACAAGATCATAGTCATTTGTCTTCAATACTGATGAGAATATGTATCATTACTCTACTTTGGTAAATATTTATCATTTGACAGTTAAAAAGTGCTTGTAAATCGGAATTTACACCGCGTAAAATCGAACCGTACGCGCATCACCTCAGCGCATGTTGTTTACAACGTTGGGTACCCGACGGGGAAATTTGGTGTGTATATTACTCGCCTGGCTCGGTAATACCAATTTCTGTTGGGTGATCAATATCCAATCAAAAAGGCGGAAAAAATCTGGAAGGGTAATAAAAGACTTTGTTTGCTGATGGGACTATTTTAGCCACGTCAAGACAAAACCAACATAATGGGTTTGCGACCAGCATGGATCCAGACCAGTCTGAGCATCCGCGCAGTCTAATCAGGATCAATGCTGTTCGCTATCAGTTTCCCTACTTGTAATAGACTTGGTATGCGAACAACATGGATCCTGATCAGACTGCGCGGATGCGCAGGCTGGTCTGGATCCATGCTGGTCGCAAACCCACTATGTTGGTTTTGTCATGACGCGGCTCATTTGTTACATGACCGTCCGCTCAATAAATGACGGAATATCTCTGCAGAAAAACCCCAAGAATTTGAAAAAAATTGGAAAGAGCCTGGTCAATGGAATCAAGACAAAAGCGAAATCTTAGGAAATTCTAGGAAGAGAGACTCCCTAATATACCCATTTAGGCTTCATCACAACTGCAGATGTTTCTTAATTGAAAATCTGACCATTTTTCATGTGTAAATATTGAATTCTACTTAAGTCGGTGCTAGGGGGCGTGGAATTAAGGTATCTTTCACTTTCCAGTTCTGCCTCTAAATATGCTCAGTCAAACCGAGCACGCTACTTTTCTTTTAATTTTGTTGTTTTTGGCGTTCTTTAGTGATTCCGTTTCTAATAATATAACCTCGTGATCAAAAGCAACATCATCTTCTGTTTCATTCAAAGAGATGTAAACACTGACAATAAATAGGTCAATATACTGCAGCATGCAACACCTATCCCCCCATCTTAAATGCTGTTCTGTTGTCTGGCATTCTTGGTACCCCCTTAAAAACAACAACAACAACAAACACAGATATAGTATTGCAAAAATGTAAAGGTCAGCAGCCTATCACGTGATGTAAGACTACAATTACACAATCAGTGGACGTCCCCTTGAATTATAATACCTCTTTTCTGAACTAACAAGTATTCTAACTCTTTTATATAGGACCCTAATTAAGCTTCTTTTTAGTTATCACATAATGTCTTTAATATCTCACTTGACTGTAAATCATATTTGTTCCTTTTTTCACGGAAAAGTGTGATTGCATTGTACATGTTTTTACAAACACATCATTTACACATTGTAAAATTTAGTAATTTTTTTTTTCTCATAAAAATTGATGCGCCCTAAAATTCACTGAGGCTTATGGCTGCTTTATATTTAGGTATAACAATTAGCAAAGATCTATCCTCATATTTTAAAAGGAAATGTTGAAACTCGAAGCAAAAAAAATCATTGAAACTGCCTTTCAACCCACTGTTAGACCCACTTGGAATATTGTTCCACAGTTTGGTATCATTTGTCAAAATTTGTCATGTCGAAGATTTACCAGGAGTGATATGTTCGTACATTGTACATATGTATATTGCGACTACAGTTACATCGGTTGTGTATCAGAGCTTAACTGGCAAACTGTAAAGCGGAGACATGACATCAGCTCTGTCACTGCTATTTACAAAAACCAACACAATCTTGTGAGGGTTGACCATCACCATCTGTCACCAATCAGAAATCACAACCATTTAATACAGTAATCGAGGACACAGTATTACTCCTACTCATTTCCCCCAGAAGTATTCGCCTGTTGAATGGCCTACATGGGCCCATATCCTTACCCTTGTTTAGACATTTTCAGTGGGCAGCTGTACCCCTTCCAAAATGTTTTGATCTTGTTATCTTACAGTAGTACAGTGTATTGTAGTTTAATTTTCAAACTGTTCTTATCCATTAGATTGCACATAACATATATTTGTTTTCAATCTATTCCCAGACAATGCTGCTCTGTGTGACTGTACATTTATTTTGCTGTTGTGGCTTGATTGAGCCGGGGGCTGCGTTCTGTGAACGTCGCCTTTGCCTGGTTGACCTTTGTTCTCATCTTTCATAGAGGATTTACCTATGTTATCGTGAATGATATTTATTAAACGAACCAAAAGAAAAATGAAGAAGAAACATGGGAAAGACCAGATAGGTTTTTAACTGGTTAGAGAAGTTTCAACGAGATAAATCAAGATACATGTACCCATCTCTCTTCACGCGGTGATATTCCTTTCATACTTTGTACCGGTCAGGAGAAGTACTCGTAATAGCTACGTGTAATTGACGTCGACGTCGCACATGTCAATAAAAGAGAACTTGTATCTAACAACACTGAAGAGAAGTATGGGGCAATAATTTTTGCAAGTGAATTACATTAATCAACAGCAATTCAGTATTTATTCATGGATATAATTATTAGGCATGTTTTCACGTATTGCACAGGCACTGGTTACTAAACAAAGCTAATCTAAGTTTCAAGAAGATGATTAACAACCGCGCTAAAATACATGTAAATATCTTATGTAATCTAAATACTAATAAGCGACTAAATTAGCATTAATTAGATAATGCTGGTTCTTGTGAAATGCCATTTTTTGTCCATTACATGTATCACACTGGTAATAACATGTGGTGAAGTCACAATTCAAATCTGAAATTTAGTTTGCTTCCGGCCATTTTTTGTTTGTATAGTTCGTCAAACTGTTCATTCTGTGCGACTGTAAAATAGTTCTTCCAGTCACCGACAACACCTGTAAAAGAAAAAAAGATTAATTTAAAAAGTGTTGATATCCATGAACTGGATTAAAGAATGCCCGCACGTCAACTCGTGACCACAGGGGGCCCACGCAGTGTTTGGTTTATACATAATTTATTTTAGTTCGATTGTGTAGGAAGCTATACGCTTATAGACACACTTTCGAATCCGTTCCTGGAACCAACCGGTACTTACCCCCCGTTCACACATAGACGCCGCTTCCACTACGATCAAAGCGTGGCCGAAAACGTGGCCGATCGTGGCAAATCGCAGGAGAAACGTAGTGGAGTCTACATAAGCGCAGTATGATCGCGGTAGCGTCTTCATGATCGGAAAGCTCTCCGCTCTCGCCACGTTTATTTTGAACGTGCTCAAAACAAGCGTAGCGGGATCGTGGCCAACAAGAATCGGGGTAAAGTCGTAAAAAGAGCGTAGTAGAAGCGCCGTAATCGTACAAGCAGCGCGGAAGCATCGTGGATAGTTCTTCATGATCGTAGTAAAAGCGCAGTATAAGTATAGTACAGTCGGGAACATACCGAGTACGCTTCTTCAACGTTCCCACTATGTTCTTACTACGTTCCCACTACGATCTCTCTACGTTCAGGACGATCCTACGAAGACCTACCATGACCTTACGACGATCATACCACGACTTGTCAGGTAGCAGTTTGTTTTTATAGCGCTGCTATTTGACCAATCATAATCTGAGGAAGTGGTGTCTTCCATTCGGAGTTCTCTCATCAGTGTATCATATTGTCAAAACTGGAGCCTCCTATCTGCAGATAGTCATGGCCGTACCCAGTATCTTCTTGGCCACCTTCTGCGCCTTCGCCTGTTATCAATCTGTGCAATTTCAATTGCAACCAATATTTGTTCTTGATAAGGTAAAGCCGGATGAATCATATCAGCATTAATACGTCTGTTCATGTTTGAAGTTTGGAAGTAAATGAAAAGTAATTTTTGAAACCCAAGATATACATATCATCGCCAAAATCGAACCAGACGCGTACTACAAGCGTGATATGATCGGCACCGTCGTAGCGATATCGTCGAACAGTCTTCTAGGTCTGCGTAGCGTCGTAGTTAGGGCTTGAATGTCGTAGCGGCAGCGTAGTATAAACGCAATAAACGCGGCCGCTGATCGGCATCGGTCAGCGTAACATCGTAGTAGAAGCGTGTCAGCAGCGCGTTTGACGTGGGAACATCGTAGTACAGTCGTAATGAAGACCAAAATTTGCTAAATTGTTCGATTTCGACGCCGATCGGCCCCGATCCAATACTTTTTCGGATCGTGGCTTGAACGGCATGATCGTCCTAAAGTCGCAGCTATGTGTGAACGGGGGGTTAGCAATGAGTGTGAAGTTTATGCTCAAGAAAACAACGACTTGCCCCTGACGGGGTTTGGACAGTGTTTGGATGGTATATACTGCTTGATGGTGACTTTAAAATGAGATTCAAGTCATAACCTTATAATATGTATATAAATATTTATATACATATTATAAGGTTATGACTTGAATCTCATTAAGGTCACCATCAAGCAGTATATACCGTCCAAACACTGTGTGGGCCCCCTGTGCTCGTGACATATTGACCAATGTTCAGTTCAGATATTCATTAAAGAAATGGGTGAAACTAGTTCAGCATACAGAGTTCTTTTTTGGTCGTCCTCTCAAAAATCTGTGATTTAAATATTTTTGGCAGCTATCTTTGGCGCCATATTTGATTTCTAGGACTGTTTAGTATCCAATCAATCGTGACTTTTCGATCCTTTCCGTCAGTCAATAATAGCCGAAAATGGTCCGATTAGGATCCCATCCCTTTGTTGAATTTACAATGAAGCTGCTACACCAGAATGTACTTCTAGTATTGATTCATTAATCATTAGAAGTTTATTTATATTCTTTAATCGATCACAGGTGTAATAATCAGAAAATGATGTGAAAATCAAATAAGAAGCTTTTATAAATACGGTTGCGTCTATAGCTTTTTAAAAAATCAAAACGGGGGAAAAAACAGAATCCCGAAAGAACATTGCAGGCTCGTTTGAATGAGCCTGTTCATGGACGGTACTGGTAAGTGCAAGTTAGCGTGCACGCCCCTTGCACCAGATAAAGCAGAACATGAAATGGTGTAATTTTGTATTTAGAATAACCGCAAACGGAAACACATATTATACTTGCTCTAACTTTTGGTTCGATGCCTTCTGAGTACCCTGCTAGCGTGGCTTGGTTGTGTCGGGCTGTGTTCTGTGTGCGTCACCTAGCCTTGTTGATCTTTGATATCAACTATTGTTGCTGTTATCAACTATAGTTGCCGTTACAATGACATAAAAAAATTGAAAATATGAAACTACATAATTGGCTTTTTACTCCAATAGATAAAAGTGTACCTTTTCGGTAAAAGTTTGGCTGCTTGTTAACCCAGACATTTGTCCAGAACTCGTTCTCCAATCCTTTCTTATCATTTTGCATATTTTCAAACTGACACTTTTTGGCAATATTTTGACACAGTTCTGCTGATACTGGTAATTCTAAAAAACCAGCAAGTTTTTTCACTTCTCGGCAAAGGTCCTGGAAATAATACAGATGGGTTGCTATAACGCCAGTTATAATGGTAATAATAAAGAGATACTGCTTGTGTAAGACATTTCTAAATCTATCGAGAACATAAATAGTATACAGTACATAGTTAGCAACATGGTCCTTTTTTTTTGCAAAAGTATCTTGTTATACTTTAATTGAATATCTATAGTGTTATACTTCAATTGAGCCGTGTCACGACAAAACCAACATAATGGGTTTGCGACCAGCATGGATCCAGACCAGCCTGCGCATCCGCGCAGTCTGATCAGGATCCAAGCTGTTCGCTTACAGACCCTATAACAAGTAAAGAAACTGATAGCGAACAGCATGGATCCTGATCAGACTGCGCGGATGCACAGGCTGGTCTGGATCCATGCTGGTCGCAAACCAATTATGTTGGTTTTGTCATGACACGGCTCAATTAAATATCTAGTGAAGGTAAAACTGGTTGCTAACCTCTTTCATGTCTTCAAAATACATTAGGTGTATAGGGTAGTCAGGATTTTCTTCCATCGCTTTCTCCCAATCTCTGATGTAGTCAAACCATGAATTTACATCGACTGAAATGTTCAGAACTATATTTAGAACATTTGTCAACTCATATTACTCGTATGTAAAAAATATGCATAAGGGTGGGGTACTCCGACTACTCCTATAATAATTGCCTTATACATGTACTTAAAAAAAGAGTAAAAGAGTATATTCTAAAATATTTGGAAGCGTCTCTATTAAGGCGAACATTTTTACTATTTATTCGAAGATTTATTTCTTGACTAGCAGAATTAATTGAGACACTTTCAGCTGTTTAATAATAGGGTGCTTTTGAGTATTCTTATAAGTGTTAAATACCGTACAAGAAATTAAAATACTTTCTGCTTATGACAAAAATGAAAAAGGATGTTTTTGCAAGGACAAAATAAAAATAAATCGTTAATTGCACCAAATATATTCATCTTTAGAATGCCAAAAGTTTAAAACATAAAGAAGTAGCAAATGGCCTACCATTCCCTTCAAGAAATAAAGGTAACCAGTCACTCCACGCTCCATTGTAATTATACAATGATTTTAATTTAATATGGTGATGAAAATGAGAGACTGCCACATCCTTTGGATTGCGATGAACAAGAACGATCTTAGTCTTTTTTCGGACCATGTCTTTCGGTAAGTCATTGAACCGGAAGTGCGTGTTAAGAACTCTTGGAGACGCAAGTGACGTCAGATCGTCTGAAGAAATGGCTTCGATCATATTCATTTGCTTAATTGTTGGAACAGTTTCAGCTTTTCCGTTGCAAAGCATAGATATTATCTCCCAGGTCCAATGTGTACCTGTTTAAATAAAGTAATACAACAAAATATATCCGTAAAGTAGGGTTTAGAACCTTTTGATTATTCTATTTTATCCTTTTATTTTCAAGATTCTTAAAAAATTGTGTAGAAGATGGAATTCAATGAATTACTTTACACTGTATAGTTTCACTTTATTTTTTAAAGCAAGGCGACCTTAGTTTATACAAGTTTATTTTAGTTCGAGTGTGTTGGAAGCTACACCCTCGAAACCGTTCCTGGAACCAACCTGTACCAGTAAAGTTTCTTGTTCAAGGAAACAACGGGTTGGCCTGACAGGGTTTGAACACACGCGGTCAGCAATCCTTAGAATCACTCAGGCACGCCACCTCAGCATTCTTGTATATTCATGATATTTTAACATGAAAAAAGGGTATTTTGGTTACCTGACTTAGCATATGTAACAAGAAGGATGTCGTCATCTCGTGCTTTAGCCTCTTTCGCCACGTGGACGACGTGATCCTGGTCTACACCCTCAACATACGGGTACCTGACACCGTTAATCTCCATAAACTGAATCGGATTCCCTCCGCCATCTTTGTAAATCTTCAACGGCATTCTGTGTAGCAATCGACAAGTAGTATAACAAACTCAATTGGTGAAGCTCTGAAAACAACATAAGCAGTCAATCTTTTTCGGATATCACTCTGGATTTACTAGTGTTTGCATCAGCTCTGGAAAACACCACCATGTGAGATGAAATGTGGCTTGTAAGATAATACATGAGACAAAATTGCAGAATAAAAATATGAGTTTTTGTATTATATATGAGACGCGCCATGACAAAACCAACATAATGGGTTTGCGACCAGCATGGATCCAGACCAGCCTGCGCACCCGCGCAGTCTGATCAGGATCCATGCTGTTCGCTTACAACCCCTAAAGCAAGTAGAGAAACTGATAGCGAACAGCATGGATCCTGATCAGACTGCGCGGATGCGAAGGCTGGTTAGGATCCATGCTGGTCGCGAACGTACTATGTTGGTTTTGTCATGACGCGGCTCATATATATTTTAATTTAATGAATATGTTATGTATGCAAAATGAAATTATCCATGTCACAGATGGCTATATTTGGCTCTCGGTTGACCATTTAGCGGAAACTCGACAGAGCCTGCAGGGCTGCGTTTCATAAAATAGAACATTTTCATCTATAGTCAAAGACTTAAATTCATTCTGCTGTGAAAAGTAAGCGAAACGCAACGGCACGCAACTTAATTTGCAATGTATTAATGTTCATCTGCATTGCAGTTCAGAAATTGAAGGAGTTCTGACACAGGAATAGTAACTTATAATATTTTCTTTGAAACGCAATATTGTGTGATTTTTTTAGGCTTAAGACTGATTTCAGACTGATTTCAGACTACGGTCTTTCTATGGAACGCAGTCCAAGGCTTTTGAAATATTCTTATGTTAGGTACGTCATATAGTATAGGACTTGAGATAACTTGGCCAAATTTACAACCTTATACAGATATACTCGAGCTAAATAATCCGACCAATACATGTATTAGATTCTTAAAAGCACATATTCTGATACTTAACATAGCATACATTGTATTCAGGCACATATATTTCTAAATTTGTTCAAGTTCCTACATCCAATGTCGTAAAGTATAGTCAATAAATAATTGATTTGACAAATTTGCAAGGAATCTCGTTTTAAACATGACCACACTTGTTTAAACTAGGTTAAAGGTAACAGTTTAAAATCAATCTTATTTGAGTTAAGAAAAAACTGCATGTATAATATACATGTATATATACTAATGTAAATATTTTGTTGTCAGATAAAATGTTGCATGAAGTTTATTTAATAATGTATTAAATGATATTGATGTTCGTTGTCTAACAGGGCATCGTCTTATTTGAGCCGCGTCACGACAAAACCAACATAGTGGGTTTGCGACCAGCATGGATCCAGACCAGCCTGCGCATCCGCGCAGTCTGATCAGGATCCATGCTGTTCGCTTACCAACTCTATTACAAGGCGATTAGCATGGATCCTGATCAGACTGCGTGGATGCGCAGGCTGGTCTGGATCCATGCTGGTCGCAAACGCACTATGTTTGTTTTGTCGTGACGCGGCTCAATTGAATTTACTTCAAAATTAATAGTCTTAAACTTAAAAAGACTAACAGACATGTCCGTTTATAAAAATAGTACTATACCTTGAAGTGTTAAATCAACGAAATTTACTCACTCGCGTTAAAATTAAAAAAAAACAACAACAACAGAGACGTATATAAGGCGTTGAATACCGAATATTTTTAAGGATATCTTTCAGCCATGACAAAGGTGGTATCGTGTACATGTATAGTGAACTACTTTAACTTAATAACTTTATAGTAGAGAGACTGAGAGCGTTGACCTCCTTGATTTACATGATTAAAAATACGTTAAAGTTTGACAATATTTAAGTTGGGAGATTTGCGATGTGGGATGGGGTGGTGGGGGGGGGGTTTCATACATCTTATATCAAAGACATGAATATATAATTTCAAACATAATATGACTCCTGGTCGGAATTTAAAGTTTAAAATGAATATGTCGGTCACTTAAAAAGGATTTGTGATAAACAACACAATTATTTCCGAAATATGCAAACTAAACAAACAGTAGGTAGGAAGGTATGTAATGAGTATATGTGCATGTACTTTAAATTTAAGGATCCGTTATTGTTTTTATACTCGTACTTTACAGGCAAAATTAAATCAAGAGACCAGCTCGCCTTGAAACAATTTAAGTCATGCCAAAAACATGCGGGTTGCCCTAGTTTACATTCCGTTTTTTGTAACATAGTTTTGTGCTTTGTTGCACGGTTTTTACAGATTAAGTAATTTAGGAGTTGTTGCCCCTGTTAGGTGACTTTTTTTAAAGACATTGGTACTAAATACATGTAGTTCCTGCATTAGAAGAAGAAGAAGGAGAAGAAGAAGAAGAAGAAAGAAGAAAAATTTATTTATTATAGTGACTTGCGATACATGTATATAGTACAAACAAATATAAAACAATTACAGAACAAATGAATCGCCCGGCCCCATGGACCTATAAGTCACTGTTTATAGAAAAACGTCATTTATGTAAACATAGACAATCGAGTTGATTTAACGTATCAAGAATAAATATATATATATATGAATGGTATTAATATGTTTAAAACATAACACCTGCCTAAACTTATCATTATAGTGTATATAGTTCGATGATAAACTTTCCTGAGTTCGAATAAGTAATACATATAATTACACTTCAGTATTTCTTTAAATGATATTCCGTCTATGTAAATAAGCTTTCACTAAGTATTTTTCAATCTTTCTAACGTGGTTTGAAAACAAGAAGATTAATTTGTCATCGACATTCAAATCCATAAATACATTATCATTTAATATTTCACCAAATGATTGCGATCTTATCTCATTATATTTTGGACAATTAAGCAAGAAATGTACTTCATTTTCAACACAACTGTCATTGCATAGCCTACAAAGTCTATCATTCAACGGTTCTCCAGTATATCTTCCTGTTTCGACTCTAAGTGGAAGAATCCCGCATCTAAATTGTGCTATAATGGAGCGTTCATATTTCGACAAATTAAATAAAACATAGTCCTCTGTGTTAAAATTGCATTTAAATAATTTGTAAGTTCTAAGCTTTGGAGTGTTTTGCACAGTTTCTATCCACTGTCTACTATAGAGGGTTTTTAGTTTCAGTTCAGCGGTTTGAAGATCAATTATGGATCTGCTGTAATAAGCATGCGAGAGATCAAGTGACGTCATTATTGATTTTATCTCACTACACCAGTTATTGTTACATAGCATATAGTCTTGATCAAACACTAATTTGGTAATCCTATCGCTGTCAAAATTAATCAATCTAATTCCAGAATCTAAGCATATTCAACCACTTACGGTAACGACTTGGTACCCACCCAAGTCAACCGGAAAGTGCAGCTATTGGTGCGTAACGGTGTACCCCCATAATAATCTCATAGATCTATTGTGAACGTTGTCAATTTGCTGTATGTTTTGTATCCCCAAATAGATGAACAGTAATCCATGACTGGAACAACACAATTAAATACAAGTTTTTCATATGATTTGAACCCGAAATCCGTAATACCGTGGATTTTATTAATTAACCCCTCCAAAAAAGCCCGGCTGGCTGCCTTGCCGATTGCCTCACAATGACTTTTAAACAATAACATTTCATCAAATATAACACCAAGATATTTGTATTCAGTCACTACATCCAATGTATTGCTACCAACATGATAGTTGAATTGTGTTCTTGGTAGACGCGGTTTTCTGAAGTGCAAACATTTTGATTTCTCTGTATTTATCAAAACGCGCCAGTTTTTACACCACTCATGAAGTGTATCTAACATTTTTTGTAAGTCAATTTCTGATTTTGCGATCAGAGCAATGTCATCTGCGTAAAGTAAAATAGAAATCGAGGCATTGTTTAATAGTCACCACCAATTAAGGGCA